TTTTGCGGATGCTGATTGGGCAAGCAATGTTGATGGTCGTCGTTCGATATCCGGGTTTTGTGTTTTTATTAGAGGTAATCTCATGTCTTGGGGTTTCAAACATCAACGGTCAGTCTCTCGGTCGACTACTGAGGTTGAATATTGTGCATTAGAGGATGTTGTGGTCGATGTTATTTGGATTCAAGCCTTGTTAACAGATATAGGAATTTCGTCCTCAAGCATTCCTGTCGTTTGGAGTGATAATACGAGTGCGATAACAATGAGTGTTAATCTTGTTCTGTATTATCGTTCAAAACATGTTGAATTAGACCTCCATTTCATTCGGGAGACGGTTGCAGCCGATAAATTTCGGGTCAATTATATTCCTGCTCAACATCAAAAAAGCTTATGGATTCACTAAGTCTTTGTCTCGGGATTATTTTTCTTTGTTTCGCGGCAATCTCAAAGTCTATTGTGAAGTTCTGGAGTCCATAGATAGTAGGGAGAATGTTAACTATTACATGAATAGCAATGAATAGAAAATAGGTTGTAATTTGGTTGTTAGGGAGAATGTGCCAGCAAGGCAAGTCTGGTATAACTGTTGCTAGCATAAGAATATTCTAGCAGGTATTGTAAAACCATATATATGTGGTATTTGGGAAATGAAGAAGATGAGGCATTTATTAAATCAAAATTCAACATAAACTAGCCAAAGCTAGTGTTTGTGGTGTATCGTAGTTTGTTCTTATAAATAACAATTTGAGTTATAAGTTTATCGAGTGCCCACCAATGATTCCAACAAGTGGTATCCGAGCTTGGTTCGAATTTACGCTGTGGTGAAGATGTCAGTATGATCTAATCGCAAATCCCGTGATTGAAAAAGACAAATTATGGAAATTAGAGCATTCAAATTAGACATCAAGTTGTGGACGAGGATTCAGAGGTCGTGGCTAAGGTAGAAATCAAGGAAATAAATCCCACGTACAATTTTATATCCACATTAAATATAGTCACTATAGTTGCAAGTGTAGATCAGCTCTGAAACAATAAGAAAGAAATAATTTAGCAGTAGCTAACGAAGAAAATATTGAAAATTCTCATGTATTTCTTACTCACAAAGGAAATAAAGAATTTAAGAAAAATATTTGGTATCTCGATAATTGTGCTAACAACCACATGTGTGGTCAGAAGGAGCTATATGTGAAGTTATATGAAACAGTCCATGATTGAATAACATTTGGAAACGACTTGCACGCAGAATTCAAAAGTAAAGGCGAAGTCATAATTACTCAGAAAAATTATGAAAATAAATATATCTCATATGTATATTATGTATCGGCTTTGAAAAGCAACATCATTAGCATTTTTCAACTCCTGGAAAAAGATTACGAAGTGGATATAAAGAATTGCTCACTTTTTATCAAAAATAAAGATGGAGAATTAATTGCTCAAGTCGATATGACTCAAAATCGTCTTTTTACCATCAACATCGAGTCAGGAGAAGTCAAGTGCATGAAAACGACAATTAAAAATGATTCATGGTTATGGCATTTAAGATATGGGCATCTTCATTTTTCAAGCATGAAGTTGTTATCGAAAGAAACTATGGTGAAAGGATTACCATATATTAACCCTCCAAATCAACTATGTGAGGTTTGCATCAAAAGAAAACAACACAAACAAAACTTTGAAGTTGGCAGATCCAGGCGAGCCCGAAGGTCGTTGAAGATTGTACACACAGACATATCTGGTCCTTACGACATCCCGTCACTTGGAGGTAATAGGTACTACTGAACTTTATTGATGATTTTAGTCGAAAATTTGAGTTTATATTTTGAAAGAAAATTCCAAAGTACTAAAGAAATTGAAAGAATTCAAAGTAATTAGTAGAAAAACAAAGTGGTCAATATTTAAAAATACTCAGATCAGATAGAGAATGCAAGTATACATCATATATATTTGAAGATTTCTGCAAAGAACATGGTATCATCCATCAATTGATTGTTAGATACATGTCTCAAAAAAATGGAGTTGCATAAATGAATAATCGCACAATCCTTGACATGGCAAGGAGCACGATAAAATGTAAGCACATACCGAGGAATTTCTGGGATGAAGTTGTTCGATGTACATTTTAACTGTTAAACTGATGTCCAATAAAGAGTGTGAAGTATATGACTCCAAATGAAGTATGGAACAGTAAAAAACCAAGAGGTGAACACCTCAAGATTTTTGGGTGCATTGTCTATGCACATGTTCCTGAACAGATAAGGAAAAAGTTTGATGACATAGGAGAAAAGTGTATTTTCATTGGGTATGATGAAAGAAGCAAAGCTTACAGACTATATAATCCTCTTACAAAGAAGGTAATCATTTCAAGATATGTCGAGTTCGATGAGGCAAAATACTGGAGATGGAGTAAAGAAGAAAAGAAAGTTGAAGGATTATTTTTTGATCAAGATAAAGAATGATGATGATGATCTTATCAATCAAAATGAACGAGATGATAACAAAATTCAACTGCAACGCTATCAATAAGTAGCAGTAGAACTGAAAAATCTGAAGTACCCCCCACAGAAGTTCAAAGATATATAAGAGAAAAAAGATTCCAGAAAGGTACAACGATTATGAATTAAATAATATGTCACTTTTCAGTATATAACAATTACGAATTAAATAATGTGTCACTTTTCAATCTACTTGTAAAGAGTGATCTTATAACAACTGAAGAATCAATCGGAGATTACAAGTGGCAAAAAGCACGGAATGAAAAATCAAGCTTGAGGGGGAGTGTTATAAATCAAACTTGATTTCTACAATATTGCAAACAAAAATCTGTGTGTTAATGTGGAAAAGCATAAAATAATTGTTGCTGCAAGCAAATTCACCATGACAAGGAAGCTTGAGGTAGCAAGAATAATGTAGAACATATTAGGCGATTGATGTAATACCCCAAATCTTGGCCAATGACTAAAATATAGTTTGTTTATTTAATCATTTAAATGATGACAACTTGTGATAAGTCAACCTCATATTATTTTTCAAGTATGTTTTCTGCTTTAATTATGGATGATTTCCATAGTGTTTATATAAATGTTTTATGGATGACTTAGGGTATGAAATGCCCAAGTTTTATTTTGACAACGATAAAGAAAAATGATTTTGAATTTGAAATATTGATTATGAAACGAATAAGATATGTTATGAAAGCTCATTGTATGTTGCATTGAGAGTCATAGGTATAATTAGCATGTCATGAGGTGGAGTGATTATAATTATGATATGGTACATTTGTGTATATTAGGTGTAGCACTTTTTGTGCAAATGATATGAATACACTTGGAGTGCATATTCTGATTACGATGATAGTACTGAAGTGTTTATTGCGCACACTCGGCTGACTCGCGTACCTTGCATTCTCTTACATATACATTGAGATATAAAAATAAATGTGAAAGTTTTGACGAGTATGTGAAAGAAAAGAATATGGAAATGAAATGATAGTTTTGGAATATGTGTTTGTTAAAAGAATATGAATTGTTTATAATATTTGATGTTGATTTACATGATTTTTGATAAAATCATAAGATGATGATTTTCAAATTTTCAAGAGAAAAACAACTTGAATAGCTCGGTTTGAAAGATTTAATGTTATTGTTTAAATTAAAACTTTATGTTTATAATACTTAATGAGACTTATGTTTTATTTGTTCAAATAGAGAAGGGAACGTGAGTTGAGAAGCCTCTTGAACATCTTTAAGAAAACCATACCTAATATCAGTATCAGTAAGACATCTTATATTTGACTTATTAGTGGCATGTATATTATATATGTATGTTGCTTTATCATAGTTGTTTTTAAATGGTCTGTAATAATAAACTTAGACCATTTATTTTTTGTTAGTCTAGTTATATCTGTATTTATGAATAAATAGATATATATTTATGTTTTAAAAAGGTTTCCTAATTAAGTTGTATTTAGGCAATTTTAAACAGTTTGTGAAACATCACTAAACTACCTAATTGTTGCCTAAAATTGGACTCGTTTCAAACGATTAAATATTATATTATGATTTTATACGATTAATAAAATAGATTAAAGTTGGGGAAAAAGGGTGTAACAAAATTTTAAACATTCATGATCAACGAATGTTTGTAATGTTGATGTAATATCTTTAACTCGTATCTCGAGACATATACGAGTTATGAGTGTTACAGTTTATTACATCTATAAATATATGGGTCGTTGTTTAATATGTAACATATGAATGAGTGAGTGAAAAAAGGAGAAAAACAAGAGAGAGATAGAAAGCTTAGCAAAGCTATATTGGTGGTGTTTGTAAACTAGTCGAATCTATGTTCGTGGTGTATCGTAGTTTGTTCATATCAATAATAGTTTGAGTTATAAGTTTATCGAGTGTCCACCAACGCTTCCAACGTATTCCACCTTCTTGGCTTGAGTCAATAATCACATTCCAAACGTTAATTTTCAGTTTGAGAATGTTTTTGCGTAACAAATGGAATTTTGGGCCAAAAATACTTCTATAAGCATTCTCAAAGCGACCAGAAGATAGATAATTTAGGATTTTAAGGGGGAAACATAACATCAATTTTATAATTTTACCATTTACTAAGATAAGGTAATTATACTTTTTATTAAATTCTGCTTACCAAGTAAGACCACTATCTCATAAATATGCTAATCTAGTCAACTAACCACTGCTTATTTTCTTAGTTTTTATAATCCCAAACACGAAAAAACCTATTTTATTTTAGACTAAAGAAATTTTTGTCCGTCAAACTTTTTCAATAAAAATTAATTTTATTTATTTATTTATTATTGTTGACTCTCAAATTTTTATTTTTTCTGTTAAATTAAATTAACTAAAACATAAACCTATTTTAATAATATATATATATATATATATATATATATTATTTTTACAATTTTTGATGTATTTAATTTTCGTGCAAAAATACAAAATCAACATTAGCATAAAGATAAAATAATTAACACCAGATTGATAGACTAACTACTTTTCCGTAAATTAATTTAATTTGACAAAAAAATAGGAGTTTGAAGACTAAAGGAAACGAAGAATATTAAATGACGAGAAATCGGATCAAACATTAAACAATCGACAGCCCAAAGTTCCATGGCAGGTTAACATGCACTAGTCTTTTACCGATTCCATTTTATACCCCTCGGACATACCGGGAAACACAACCGTATCTATTCCGTCGGTCCCCTGTGGGCATCACCTTTGCCATTCACCGGAGTGAGTGTGGCCAGAATCACAAAACCACCCAGAACAACAATCAATATCCCCAAAGAGTTTACCAGCAAAGCCTCGGTAGAGTAGCGCCATATTACCCGGCTAGTTTGACGAAAAGTAAGCTTTTCCAAGATACCCGTAGCAGCAGTAGCAACAGCGAGCGCATACGTATACATCGCTAAGAACACGTGCCATGGCAACAATGCGGCTCTGCTGTTTCTTGAGCCACCCGGGTACCAAAACGTCACAAATCCAGCAGCCCACTGGTGCAGAAGAAATTAAAAGCAAAACACAAGACATGATTAAGATCCATATCTTCACAGAATGAAGACGAAATGCACTGGAAAGGAACAGGACAGAACAGAACAGAATAGAACCTGGATGACAAATAAGAAAAGGCAAGCTAGGCCCAACCATGAGTGCAGACTGTAAAAGTTTTCAATGCCCCTATCGTTGAGGAACTTCAGAGCAGCCCATACACCGATAGTACTCAAAATAAAAGCAAGGCACTGAATTGTAAGATGAACTAACTTTTTGAAGTTTTTAGTCCCGGGAACAGTCTTGTATGCCAGCATGGCTGCATCAATCAAATACCAAACAAGAGTTAAAACAAAGCAGGATGGTAAAGATACTGACCTTTTTCAGTATTCCATAACAGTTCGCATTCTTCGAGAATCCCTTATGCTCTCCCACCAGAAAAAAGATCGACACAATTGCTTGAATATAAGTTACCATATCACGTGTTCTGAAAACAATCCTTAAAGATCACCAAAGGATGATTTCCTTCAAGAAATGAAATTTTGAAACTTGATGACAAATTATTGAAATGAAAAGGGAAGTGAAGTGAAGACAAAACCCTGCAAACCCAAGGGAGAAAACTGAATGGAACTTAGTTTACTTTCTTCCCTGATTGAAACAAGAAGTAAATATATACTTTTCTGAAACCAGAGAATAGACAACTAAGACAAGTATAGTATCCGAAAATATCTATCTAATATGAACAATAGCTTCTGGCAAGGTAAAGAGAAACACAGGAGAAAACAAACTTGTGCTTATCAGCTTACGCAAGTATAATATTATGCATCCACAAAGTCTTAAAATAGTTTAAGCAGCATCCCTCCAAAATATCAATAATATCTCCAGAGAGAGAGAAAAGAGCATGAGATACATACTTCCATATCAATATCCTTCAAGGAGATCATGGCATTTTCCATAGTTTCTCAAGCAAATTCATGTAATGAAAAATTAAAGAAACTGCAGAAGATCACAGATACATGAAAAAATAGAGTAACTATAATAGTAATATAAGGGAAATTCACTTCTCAAGTCCTAAGAAAACCTCAACATGGCTATCAGAGAAAAAGGGGTAAGTTCTCAACAACTGCCAATTTCTAGACATGAATCGGCATTTTACCGAACACATAGTATTCTTTCATCTTATCCACTCGATATAATTTAATCTCAACAAATCAATCATCTCACAAGGACAAATATAGAACATTAAAGGAGATGGTTGGATGCATATAACAAAAACGTGAGGCATCAATCATCAAATAAAAAATGGCATTCACCTTCGCCATTTAAGAGCAGTAGTCCAATGACCATCAAAACAGGATGGACCTGCAATAAGCACACAAAAATGTTGACTTTACTGAAATGATAAAGAAAATACACCTCTTCATAGGCTGAACAGAGAAAGATGATGTTTAAAGGTCTGCTATGGTATTGTTGTATTACTTAGAAACATATTTTAGTTTATTGTAAGGCAAGCATAGTTGTAATTGATTAAAAAGGAATCACAGCTAAGATATAATATCAATTTGAACACAACTAATGTTGATCATCATAACTAGGAATCATTTATCAGAAAAAATGCTTTTTGCTTTTAATTTTCTTCGAAATGGGGGAAAATGTAGCAAAACCAATAACAAAATTTAACCAAAAAACTAGTGTTGATCATCATATTTTGTTACTCTCTCGTAAACTGCATTATGCGATTAACACTGAGAAGAATGGCAGCATGTCTTGAAGTTAAACAATGAAACATTAATTTCCAATGAATCATAATTTCCAGATTATGAATATTATCACAAATTATAAAGAAAAATGGCAATAAGATCAATTAATCACCAGATGTAACAAGGAGGGGGAGCGAAATTGGAGAGAACCCATTAAAGAAAAATCAAAATCAAAACTCAGTAGCTGGGAAATCAATTAAAATGAAATATCTTGCTTCTCTAGTATATATATATAGGATAAAGAGGGAAGAGATTACATTAAAGATGAGATCTTTGTTATCAGAGATGAGAGCCAATCCTCCTCTATAATGAAGAGTCCATGTGAAAAGAATAGCTGTTACTACGACTCCCAATACTCTAATTACCAAAAAGATTGGAAATTTGATCACTGGAACCCCCATTCCTGCACCACGAGAAAGGCAAGCATACAGCAAACAAAAAGGAAAAAAGTAAATGTTATTTTGAAGGTTTTGAGGGATGGGTTCTCTCAGAAGAATACGAAAAATCGGTGCCTTTGATTCCAATGGAGAGAACAGATCAGAGAGGAAGGCGTCGACCGTCGAGGTTTTCAAACTTTCACAGTAAACCAGGTTCTAAGCCAATACCCAGACATACGTATCCACGTTCGCTCAACTTTTACTAAATTATTAAACTTTTAATCAAGGCTTAATATAAAAAACATCTCAAAGTATACCTTTTTTTTCTCTATTAAGGTATTTAAATTTTTTTCGATTAAATCATTTGTCTAATATTATATATTTATTGTTTTAAGTATTTCAAGCGTAATTAATATTAATGATACAGGTCAAGTTTATAATTTTTTTTAAGTTTTATCTTTTATTTTTAAATAAAAAATATTATTTAAAAAAATAATATTCTTTTTAAGAAATTCCCCCTCCCTCTACCAGCCTCACGCACCATCCCCAATCCCTCACGCGTCATCCCTCTTCTTCCCCTCTCCCTTCCCGAATAGATTAGACTCTCTCTTCTGTGTTCTTTTTTCAAAGAGAAAATAATTTCAGTGGCCAAAAATCTCATATAATATACGATTTTAACTAATTTTTTTCGGATTTGTCAAAATGACCAACAAAATCGCAATGCGATCGCTAATTCGCAACGCGATCTCCATTATCGCAAATCAGTTTCCAGATTCGCAACGCGATTATGACTATCGCAATGCGATTTTCCAATTTCGCGTTGCGATTTTCCCAATTCGCAATGCGAATAAGTAAATCGTAATGCGAATTTGGAAAATCGCAATGCGATACTGACTATCGCAACGCGATAATACAAAATCGCAATGCGATACTGACTTTCACAACGCGATACTGACTTTCGCAACGCGATTCTGACTTTCGCAACGCGATTCTGACTTTCGCAACGAGATTCTGACTATCGCAACGAGATAATAGAGAATCGCAATGCGATTTTCAAAGTTCGCAACAGGTTTTAGTTTCGCAACATCCTTCTGAGTGGGACATACCATATGACTTACAAACAGTTTTGCCACCAGCCATGGACAGAAGGCTACCTGGCCGATCAAAAAGTCACGATCGTATACCGTCTAAGGGTGAAGAGAAGAAGAGATCGACATGTAGTCGGTGCAAGGAAAGTGATCATACAAGGTTGACATGTGGTTCATCAGTGCCATCACAATCATCTTTTCCTCTACCAAAATATGGATCCTCATCAAAATCCAAAGCTCATATGGTGTCAAGAAAAAGGCAATCAAAATCGCAATCATCTTCAAAATCCCAATCACACCCGGCTTCACCTTTTGGGACTGTTAACTTAGGTGATTTTTAAATGCAAACGTTGTATTATGTGTATTTTATGTGTGCACTTTTAACATTTTCAGTTAGGCATGTATTAGTAACTTGAGTTTGAACATTGCTATGATCTGTTCAGTTGTTATCACTTATTAGACATTCATTTGACTATCGCAACGGGGAAATCGCAACGCGAAAATGACTATCGCAACGCGAAAATGGCTATCGCAACGCGAAAATGGCTATCGCAACGAGAAAATCGCAATGCGAAATGAAAATCGCATTGCGATTTTCTCGTTGCGATTTTCATTTCGCATTGCGATTCTCTCGTTGCGATAGTCAGTTTCGTGTTGCAATAGTCTGTTTTGCCTTCAACATAATGCAGATTGAAAATCAACAAATCAACTATTACATTTCAAACAATTAAACAAGCACAAATAAGAATTATGTACACATCAATTAAACAAATCAACATTTACAAATCATTTTTTACAAATCAATTAAACAATCAAAAAATAATAATAATTCTTATTTCCTCATCAATTATTGAATCAATGAATCAACTTTTACACCCGTACATCCATTTCACGCAGCTCACTTAAGGATTAACCTGCAGAAACCAAACATTTGCTCAAACAAGACTTCCTACACATCTAAAACCTACAAACAGCAAATTATTGAATTCTAGGTACTTAACCAAACATTTTCAAACCAAAAGGAGTATATATGTTAACAAAACTTGCATTTGACTTACCAATTAACAATGGATACTTTCATAACGCGGATGTAGGTAGGCAGCATCTCGAATATATCGCTCTAGCCATATAATGCCGAAACCACAAGCCTACTGCAGCTCTATCTCTATCGGTGGGAGGTAGAAACTCTGTGCTTCCCGTCGTCAAACGCACCAAGCACATGCATACGAGAGGACCACAATCCCCTCTGGCTCCCGGTGATTATTATGGCGCGGTCTCGTCTCTAACAACTGGGATATTGAACTTCTTTGGCTTTTTGTGTCCAGAATGAGTCCAATAATTTATCCCATCCAAGAATTTAGCCAAATGAGAGCTCCATCCCTTGATAATATCTCTCAAATCAGACAGTGATATGTAAGTTATCATGCTGTCATATACTATTATCTTCAGGGATGGGAGCTGAAGTTGGACGAGAAGCCAATGACGACGTTCCAAAACAGGGATAAACACCTGCAATCATAAGTAATAATTCATTTATTTGCGCACTTATTTATGAACACCTTTAAAAAATTTAAAAAATAAACACTAATCTTATCGACCTCCCACCATGCAGGATAAAGTTTAGCTTGTCCATTGCCCAACGAAAATGATTCATCTCGTTGATTCTTCAAGTGAACTGTGTGAAAAGCCGCCGGCATTATTGTATATCGCGAATTTTTTTTATTTTCCTAAGCTTCCTTATTATTAGAAGACGTGACACCTACGCATCGATATGCTATTTTACAAAAAAAGACATGTATTAGTGAATTACATTAATTTTTAAAAAAATTAATCAAAATCATATATAAGACAAATATAAGACTTACCTCCACATCGAAATAGCCACTGTCTTCAACCTCTAATAACACACCTCACCAAGACCGATTAAGCAACAAATACATCTCATCGTTGAGTTTGCTTATGTCAGTGTAACACCCTTGGCTCCGCTCATGTAGATAAAAATCAACTGCGGTCTTAGCCCAAAGGGTATTATCCAGAATTGTTTCCGGTAGTTGTCTCCTCTCCACTTCAGATACCGGAAGGGTACTAGCCGGTAACTCATACGAGAGCCAACTCTCATCCATCATGTTCGGCAACGGTGGGGGTTTCTCAATAATTCGATATATTACCCCATATGAATCAGGCTCTGGAATGGTGGGAGGGACCTCTTCAACGATGACAGTGGCCTCTTGAACGGTGGGGGGGACTCTTGAGGGATGATAGGGGCCTCTTGAACGATTGGAGGGGACTCTTGAGGGATGACAGGTGAGTCGGGCTTCTTCTTGCGGAGTCTTCGCACCATTGGGGTGAACGGAGACGTAATAGCACGTGCACGCCGTCTGATGCGTGAACTCCGTCTTGCAAGGAAAACCCGACGTAAAGCATCCACCTTATCGGGCCGCTAAAAAAAATTAATACATAAATAAGTAAATAAACAGACATGATATTAAACAAAGACAAATATGTTTCAAACTTGCATTGTATTCACCCAAGTCATTATTCTATCATAGTTCACAAAATGCATCAGATAACATTCCAGAAGTAAGCACTTATATAAACATTTAAAAGGACAACATATACAAACATTCCAGAAGAAGAATAGTTTACTTTCGTACCACGAAACTTACTTTCGCAACGCGAAAATGACTATCGCAATGCGGAAATGGCTATCGCAACGCGGAAATGGCTATCGCAATGCGAAATGAAAATCGCAACGACAAAATCGCAACGCGAAACACAAATCGCATTGCGATTTTCATTTCGCGTTGCGATTTTGTCGTTGCGATTTTCATTTTGCATTGCAATTTTGTCGTTGCGATTTTCATTTCGCATTGCGATAGCCATTTCCGCGTTTCGATAGTCATTTTCGTGTTGCGAAAGTAAACTATTCTTCTTCTGCAAATTGAAACTTGAATGGATTGCATTACTTCAACCAAAAGACAAAAACAAATACTAACAAAAACAATTTAGCAGTATTGGCAGCAACCGAATGAATTTATTAAGCAATCTAAGTGAAATGGTTAATCTAAGTGAAATTACGAGTAAATTTATCATCAAGTTAAATATGAAAAATCTTAAACTTACCTCGTTGCGTAGAGTATGAACCTCATTCTGCAACGATGCTACCATCTCACGTAGAGTGGCTACCTCACCGCGTAAAGTAGACACCTCAACACGCCATGCACCATCGTCTTTGCGTAAAGTATCGACCTCCTCACGCAAGGCATTGACCTCATCACGTAACTCCCCTAACTCATCCCATGGAGGTGGAGGTGGAGGTGGAGAACATGGAGATAAACGTCGTGGCATCTTTGCCGGTCGCCTATCTTGCGGTGATGGTGGAGAAGAGGCTCGATGATGTGACAGAATAGGTGATGGCTGTCGTTGTGTAGGTGTATAGTCGGGTCGATCAGGTGATGGCTCTGGGTGAGGTGATAGCTCTGGGTGAGGTGATGGCTCCCGAAGTGGTAAGCTCAGCTTCCGTGGGTGTCAGCCTCTGTAATGGAGTGTTGGCCTCCTAACAATATAAAAGCTCAAACAAAGTTAAACGTGTACTAGTAATAACTTGTTTATAAACATATGGTAGTATTTATGTTAACTTACATTATTTATTGTCGTATACCGTAGTAAATCTTCCCATTGCAAGGTCCGTTTCCTCTTCCAGGAAATAGCCTTGGGAATATCATTTGAAGTTTTTATTGCATATGTCTTCATGGCGGGAAAGGCCTCAAATATCCAAATCTACAAACAATATAATAACAAACATTAGTAATTGTTAAATAATTACTTATAATTTTGGAAACATTATATAAAAATTCTTACCTTAAAGGCCCAAATAAAGCCTGTCAAAGTGTATTTGGAACCATCGCCATGCAAACTTTTTCGATCATCCAAGGCAGACGATAACTTATTCCATGTAGCTTTCCATAAATACGAGCCCCACGAAAACAGGTTCCACGCATTTAGGTCTTCTACCAATTTGATTAGATCATTCGGAATAGGTTGTCTGGTCTCTCTGCCTAAAAAGCCGGCATGCAAAAGTATTAGAAGGCATACTCGGACAACATCGACGTCATCCATCCGAGTAAAACCATCTTTCTTATTCAATAATCTCGTCA